GCCGAGGAGCCGGGTGTTGGCCCTTTGCGGAATGAGTGGCCACGAGCAGCAGCTGGCAGGGGAAGGGCATGGAGGAGAGGGCAGAAGTGAGCAGGGAGCAGCGCTGCCGCCTGCCACCCGCAGGTGAGTCCGCCCAGGCTCTCTAATCTGCTGACCCCAGCGAGGTCCAGCCCCAGCCCCCAGGGCTTCGGCCTCACCCACAAGGCTCCGCTGACCAGCTTCTGGGACCCCTGGGCACACATGGGTCCTCAGCGCCCCACACGTCCCGGCCATGCCCCCACACCCGAGGTGGGAGTAAGCTCCTGTGCACCAGCCACCAGGCCGCACTCCGGTCACACTCGCGGCTCCCAGGGTAACACAGCTCTGTCTTGACCCCTGGGAGGCAGCTTCAGGGTGGGGCTCCCGAGGGCGGTCCTGACCTTGTGGGGCACAGAGCCGAGGTCACCCGTGCTGGCCCCTGGTCCTGGGGCCAGCAGACCTAAAGAAAGGAACAGTGGAGAAGGGGCATCATCACACCGCGCTCCATGCAGGCAGGCACTGGGCAGCACAGGGCGGCCAGCATCTGAGCAGCGTGGGCGGAGGGGGGCGTGGTGCTCCGGGGTCACTCCGCCCTGCGACCGAAGCCTGGGGTGCCTCCGCCAGTCCGTGGCAGGCTTGTGTGGGACATGCGGGCCGCACAGCTGCCCAGGGGCTGCTAGAATCCAGCAACGGCTGGTCCTGCCCGGCACGGGAAGACCAGCCAGTTTCCACACCGAGTTCTTCCAAGCAGGCAGCACAGGGCTTTTGAGAACTAGAAGGAAAGTGACCAGAGATAACAGACCCACACCGCGCTCTGCTCTGGAGGTCAGCAGTGAGGCCATCTGCCGGTGCCGCCCCCCACTCTCCCCCACTCTCCCCATGAAGCCCCTGCCGCCCCCACCCCCAGCGGTACCCCAGTCCTGTGTGCATGAATGAACCAATCTTAAGAGGACAGGCAGGAGAGCCTCTAACACCTGAGTCGGAAGCACAGCATCACACAGGGCACAAGGAGGGTCAGAGTGGCCGCTGCCCGGGGAGGGCCTGGGGAGCCGGCACCCGCAGTCAGCAGCAGCCAGTAGCAGGCCCGAGGTGGGAGACTGGACACAGGGCGCAAGGGAGGGGCAGGGAGGGGCTGCGGATCCGGCGCTGGCGGCTGGGCGAGGGAATCAGCCCTGGAAGACGGCCGTGGCTCGACGCAGCGAGGGGCCTGTGTCCCCCATGGACGGCCCGTGTCATCGCCGGATCGTGACCGGCAACAAAAACGACGCTCAGCAACAGGGACGGTCCAGGCTGGGGGGCGGGGAAAGCTGCTGGCCATCTGGGAAGCCGAGGCGCCACCCAGCTGTTCCCGTTGGGGGGAGGGGGCTCCCACAGAGCGAGGGAGGGCTGTGGGGCCAGCCCAGTGGGCGGAGGCGGAGGACCGTCCTCAGGAAAGGCCGCCACCCGGGCCAGGCGTGGAGCCTCTTGGCTCCACACAGCCTTCAGCATGCCAAGCAACTGGGCCCCGGGAGCCAACCCTAGCCCCTGCATGGGTCCACCGCGAAGGCCTCTCACCCTCGGGGCGCGGGTGAACGGTGGCACCGGCCGCAAACGCCAGCTCATAAGGGGGCGCTGGCCAGGGCATCCTGCGGCCCATCCATAGGCGGCTGGCAGGTGGCCCAGGGGCCCGCGGGGGCCGAGGGCTGAGGAGAGCGGCAGGGCGCCCGCTGAGCCCCGAGCCCTGAGCCCTGAGCCCCGAGCTGGCCCTGCCGCTGAGGCGCTGCAGTCCTGGGTCTCTGGGCTCCACCACGGGGTCTTCTCGGGCCCTGCAGCTGCGGCCGGCAGCGTCACTGGAATCAGGCTCCTGGAACCTGAACAAGTCCTGGCCGTCGTGCACCCGACTTCCAACAAAACAAGGGCTGGCAGCCTGTGTCCCAACACGCGCCTGCAAACTGAGGTCAGGAGCGCAGGTTAGCTGAGCACTGCGCATCTCCGGAGCCCTCCGCCGGTGCACGCGCTGCCTGCAGTGACCAGACGCGCGCCGGCGGCCTTTGCCCGGCCTCCACGCCACGCTCACTGCTGCTTTCTCAGTTACCGCTGTCGGTGTTGTCCCCAGTCCAGGCACAGTGGCCCGTACCACTGCACCCAGCAGGCGCTGCCAGCTGTTCTGAAACCCGCCCCCACCCTGCGGCTCCTGCACCCGGCCAGGCGCCGCTTTGAGCTCCCGGTGATCCGTGATCCGGGGTTGCACCTGTGGAACGTGCCCGGTTTCCCACGGCCTCGTGTGCCACGACCTGCCGCTTGGTCAGGTTGTTCTGGGCAGACTTAGTCGGCCCTCTGCAGCCCTGCCACTCCGTGTCCGTGTGGTCTCCGTCAGTTCCAGCAGGGCCTGTCCCTGCCACACTCCCTCCATGACTCTTATTAAGGCTGTCATTTAATATGTCATCGTGACGGACGCCAACGATAACGACATCGCAGTCATGCTGCGCACGTGGTTTCTGTCAGTTGGCTTTTGTTTACTTCACTTAGTTTTGCAGCTGTCTGCTTAGCTGCTAATGCTGACTGATGTTCGCTGCCTCAGCGCTTTCTCCAGCAGTGATCCACCTGAGGATTTATGGCGACTTCCTTGCGTGTGGCTCTGTCCACCTTTTTGTGGAAAGGTTGACTTTCAGTGATTGCTTTGCGTTCACAATATTTAAATTGTTCTTGTAGTACGAACATCTTTGTTGAGCACTTGATTCTCTGTTTCCTTACTTCTGGGTTTATTAATATTGATTCTGGTAAATTCAGAGCTGATGTAATCATTGCTGAGTCTTATTAATTCTCCAACTTTATCTTTAAAAAAAATTTACTTATGTATGTATGCAAGAACTGGGGTACAGGCCAGAGGTGTGGGGGTTCAACGGAGACAGAGTGGGGACCAGAGCGGCAGATCTACTGAAACACGCTGCTGAGGGGCAGCGGGCGGCCAGGAGGCGTCCACGGCGCCCCTGGGTCAGCTCCGTGCTCGGACGGAACTCGCGCTGCGGTGGCTGACAGGCTCGCGGGGCTGCGCCAGCCCAGCCTCGGCTCCAGCTCTCCAAGCTGCTCCTGGCCTGTGGTGGGCCGTCGCCCTGGAGCGTGCCCTCCCAAGTGCGCGGCCTCCCGGGGTCCTGCCATCCTGCATCTCGCAGATTGAGGTGGAGACGGTGAGCCCGGCTTTGTCCTAACGCAGGGCTCACCGTGTGCTTTAGGGTTGGCACTCTGCATCGAAAGCCACCGTTTGCCCACTTCCCGTAATGTGACGGCAGCCACATGCGCTCAGCGCCTGCTCAGCCACAGGCTCCAGCTCAGCGCCGCGGCGCCCGCCCCAGGCCTCGGCCCGGCCCCGCCCCGCCCCTCACTCGTCGGTCATCGCCCCGACCCGCCCCCGCGTTTACGTCACATCGCTACGCGCTGACGCAGGAGCGGCAGCAGGGGCGGAAGGGGCGGGACCCGCGGGGAGGGGGAAGGAGCCGCCGGGGCAAGGGCGGCAGCCAGAGAGCGCGCGCCTCCTGGTGGCGAGGCCGGGAGACGCGGCCAGCTGATTTCCCGCGCTCCTCTAGAAACGCCACGGAGCGTCTGATCCGTCAGCGTCGTCTCCCGTCCCCATGTCCCATCTGTGTCTGTGGTGCGTCAGAGCCTGTGGGTTAGCATGATCATGGCGACGGGTCCCTCTGCGAATCCTGATCCCCGTGCAGATTAGGTCTGTGCATTGTATTGCCCCCCGGAATGTGTACAGCTCTAGTGTCAGCTGGGTTTGCCCTCTTTTCCTGGTTTCCTGGACACAGGGGGCGCTGGGGGATTCCTTTGGTGTTCAATGAGCGCCATTTCCGTGACGGTTATTGCTCAGGGCTCACGGTACCCCACAGACCCCCATTCTGAGGCAGTTAAGAGAAACAGGGGCAGCTTGGCCAGGTGTGTGGGATACCGGGAGAGGCCCACATGGCTACCCCCCATCTGCCTGCCTGCCTCCCTGCCTGCTCTGAGGCATCATAACAGCCAAACCAAACCGTCCTCCTCGCCATTGGGCACGCACACTGGCGAGAGGATCTCCCTCCGGCTCTGGGACAAGTGTTGGGGTGCGTGGGGGCTCCTTCACAAACAGGGGAAACACAGAGCTCACTGGAAGCACAAGTGCTAGCTGCCTCCGCCAGAGTCCGCCAGACCGACAAGTGGAGGAGTGCCAGTCCGCGGTCCCGGGGGGCCAGGCAGCCACACCTGCCCTCCCCCCGCCCCCACCGAGGTGGCAGAGAGACACCAGGCTCCGGAACCAGTGGTGCTCCTCACAGCCGGCGTCAGAGGCCGGGTGGGCTCGAGGCCCGGTCTCTGCCGGAGCCCTGTGCCTTCTCTGCCCAACCCCAGAGATCTCCTGCTGGGGGTCGGTGGGCTTCGGGTCCTCCTTTCCTCTGGCTCCTGGGGCCAGAGCCAGAGTCCGGAGGCTGCAAGAGAGCACGGAGGCCGGCACGGCGCTTGTCCCTCTCGCTCGCTCCTCTTTCTCCTCGCTGGTCAGCCACTGGATGTGCGCGTGCGGTCCGATCGCCTCTCCTCCTGCCCGCTTCTCCCTCCCGAGGCCAAGAACAGCCGCTCAGCGCCCGCGGGACCCCAGCGTCCACCCCTTTTCAGGGAGTCCGGCCCAAGAATGACGGGCCCATCGCCCAATCCTGTGCCTGATTGGAAAACTC